AGATCATCCTGGGAGACAATTTACATTAAAAAAATCAATTAAAAAAACATTGCTAGGAGCATTGCTCACTTTTTAAATGCAGAGTACAACTGGCACACATTTAAGTTCAGAGAGATACTGAATTCTTGTTAAAGACAGTAGGAAATCTATCACGTCCATAGCTTTACATTCAAAACATGCACAATAAAACTCTGGCAATTTCTATCTTACTCTCATAACTCCAACTCTAGCAGCAAAAGGTTCTTTCTTTTCTTATCATTTCTGGCCTATTCCAACCCTTGCCCAAGTTGCTAGAAGTCATTCCTGTGACTTGAAAAGGAAAAAGGAGTTTTGAAATAGCGATCCGGATGCGTTGCCCACATTTCATCATTTCCCGCGTTGAGCGGCGCTCGCATTCATCTACTTTTCAGTAACAGGATCAGATGACACTTAGTCATCCCTCACCCACAGCTCTGCACGGATGTTACAATGAGCACCATCAGTCATGGGGAATATCACCCTGCCACCTAAGTCCCTGCATTTCCCTTCCCTGGGGATGGCCAGTTCGGAGCACATCCGCGTGTCCCAGCACGCTCCCCGCAGCGCTCCCAACAACTTGTCCATCCCATGGCAGCTCCCCAGGCTCTTGCGTGCCCAGAGCTCTCTCCTGTCCCGCAGCGAGTGCACTGCAGAGATCAGGGCTGCTGAACGAGGGCTGGGAGAGCAGGGTGACCTGCTCAGGGGGTCTGACACAGGCTTTTCTTGTAAGGCGGTGAAGCAGGACAGAGAACTGCTTGAAGGACCTGAAGGAAAAGGGACATGAGTCCTATCTCTACCCCCGCACTCACGCTAAATCAGGTCAAGCTTAACACTTCATGTGACTGTCCCTAGTGCTTCCTTCCATGACTTCATCCGTCTTCTTCAGCCCAATGGCCCTTCTCCCCTCTGTCCTACACCAGGCTGGATGCAAAACTCCCATCCAGCACCGTTCATCAGCAGGCACATTGCGCTGGCTGGGCGCTCGCCCGGCTTTGGATGGCTTCCTCGGGTCACACTCCTCCTCTTCCTCCCCTCCCCACAGTTCTCCAGGGATTTTTGTGGCCCAGTTTGCCAAGCTGCCCAGTTTGGCAGACACATCTCGCACTACAACAGGGATAGCAGTGGCAAGAGCAGCAATTTTCCAGGAGGTAGCTCCTCTGTCCTGATACATGCCTTCAAAGTCTGATTATCATCCTAAAAAAATATTGTATTGTTAAAACAGCTTAAGAGTTATTTACACCTCAAAGAGTGGCTTAAATAATACATAAGCCTAGTATAGTATTTTTTTTTTTTTTTTACAAAATCTTCACTAATGTACACGTGCCTCCGCATAAAAAAGCTAATCATACTCTTTTTATATTCATTTATTCTCTTCTGAGTTCCCGACAACTGTTGGTCAGGATCCTGTCAGCACTATAAAGCGCTGACCACACTTCTTGTCTAAGTTTGCTATATGCAGACAGTTAACAAACACACACGTCAAGTGCTGCACGTTTCCTACTGTCAGCACCACTTGCTTAATGCATGACACACAAATGGACTGATTTACGTTTTTCCTGACAATCTTATTTCCCAGAGAGTGGTGGCATGTATTCCTGGATCCATTAAGCGCCACACGGATAAAATGACAAGACTGCCTGTTAAAGCCGGGCACTATTGCGAACTGGCAGGAGTCAGGCAGGGAGGACAAGAGGGTCTCGGGGTCTGCCCGCGTTAGGGAGCACAATGGAAATGCTGCTCCTTCACCTGGGAACTGTGTGCATCCCTACCTGGCTGAGCATGGATTTTAATGCAAAGAACAGTCATGAGATGACTCTGTACGCACCAGCTGGAGTAAAGAGGGCAGGTTAACAGCAATGAGAATCAGTGATAAATATAGTTCCACTCCCTATTCATTATCACAGCAACTTCAGCTACTACTCACCAGAATTATTCAGTTTCCTGGGAGCTGCCTCATCACATCCATCCCCTTCGGCTCAGGAGCTCCAAGTTTGTTATTAGCCAGTCCTGACTGGCCAAAGATTCATTGCAGTAGTTTTCTGAGCCATGTCTGACCTAGGTATTTTTACCTTCTCATTTTTAGCTGTTTTATGAGCAGGGTTAATACAGCCATAACGCTCAGAATAATGAGAATTTGGTTACAGGCTTCAGTCAAGCCCTGTGCCTTCCTTTGCTGTGCACCCTCGTCCTGGGAGGCGATGCTCTGCAGCAACAGTTATGTAAGGGGAAACATGGAGCTAGATCAGGGTCTTGTTCTTTTCCTCACAAATTTAATATTTATTTATTTTTCAGCAAGCAGACACCATGCCCAATTTGTCTCTAATGAAAAAAATGGCAATGTTTAAGCTTAAGAATTAACTTATTTTAAAACTGATAAAAGGAGGGGTGCATAAACTTATTGTATGTCAAGGAAAGACAAATGAGATATCCCATATATTAGAAAATAGTGAATTAGCATTTCCTACGCTGTTTTAAGTCTGATAAAGCTAAAAGCTATTTTCTTGTCAGCCTTTTCATATGTCACCAGTCTTCAGAAGTCTACAGCATCTCAGGTTAGTCTGGATTCTTTTATGTAAACGTAGTTTTTTCTTCACTCTGCTGCTAGGGGAAATGGCTCCCAATATCAAACCCAGAGCCAAACTTAGGCTGCTGAAAATCAATACAGCGAAGGTTGAGCAGAGGCGGAAGAACACAGCTATCAGAATAACTCAGATAATTATTCACACATACAGCTAAACCTACCTGGTTAGAGTACCTAAGTTCCTCTGTCTGCTTCCAGATGTGGCATATATCTCTCATCAGAAGGATTTTTTTTTCATTCCATCCTTTTTAGCTTCCATTTGAAATGCTAGAAATTTGTTAACAGAAAGAAGGTGCTTGACCAGCGCTCAATAGAATTAGCTGAAAGTTTTCCTAGTCCTGTAGGTTTCACAGAGATCTTAATATTACTAAGATTTTACTTTGAAAAACAGGGTCAAACCAAATTCTGGTATGAAGAGCCCTCCATTTTTGGAGGAACAGCTCTGTGCACAGCAGGAGCACAGGACTCCCAGATCCTCCCCCAAAGCAGCCGCTACAGCCTGGCTAAGCCCAACAACTGGGGAGGCAGCAGCTACGACCCCTACCCCAGGAATTCCTGGTTATATGGGAACTGGCATAATTCTGCTAACAACTGTAGAAAAAAGAAAATTAAGTATTTGAGCTCATAAGTATCAAGCTGTCCAGAAGACATCCCATAAAACGCATCTGCAGCCTTCAAACCACAAACCTGTGAGACTATCTCTAAAAAGCTGGTCATTTCTTTGTGATAAACATCCTTTTACCTGAAGTCAATGGATACAGAAATACTCTCAAAGAAAAACAGGTCAGTTTTATTACAGACATTTCATGTAGCCACTTTGTACAATAAATAACATTTCTAGTGAAGCAATCTACACCCCTGCATGGAACTCTATATACTCCTGCTAATTTGTCTGCTATCCAAGATGAAAGGCCTGAGAGACTGCATTGGACTTGATAAAACATTAATTCATGTATAACACTTGTACTTTGAATTCAGCAATGGCTTAACCACATGACCTTCATAACTGCTAAATTATTATGCCTAAGCACGCAAGTATTAATTTTCCTTGTAGAGGAGCCCGCGAAGGCACAGCATCAGAAATGCAGACATGTGAGCCCAGGGTGCAAGAGAAGAGTTGAAGATAACTTCAGCTTCAGCATTTTCACCCAGAGAGCCCCGTGCAACAAGTGAGGCGGTGCGAGGCCAGCGCTGCGCGGGAGCGCGTTATCCATGGCGAGCACCGCTTCCCTCCTGCTTAACAGCCCGCTTGGAGCGGCTAAACTTAGCAGCCCTGAGGTGTAGGAAACCAGATAGCTCGCAGTTGAGCTGGATAGGAAGTGCGGGGCTCAATGTGTTGGAGGTTAAGATTAAGCCCTGACTTCCTTTGGGGCTATTTCAGGCAGTGGCAAATGATGGCATGCTCTCCTACAGCAAAATGACAGATGATCAAAGGTCGAAAATGATCTGTATGTGGAGCATTCGGAGGAGGCCCTTTCCGCACGGGCCTGGGCAGGAAGCCTGTGAGCGGGGTGTCTCCCCTTCTGTGTTTACTCCAAACGTCCCAGTAACCAGGTAAAGCCGCAGACCCGCAGGGATAACTGGGCCCGTGACGCTGGCACCTTTCGCTCAGAGGGCCATGCCCTCACCATGGCCAGGCAGCAGCCGTCACTCTGCGCCTCGGAAAAACCACCAAAGCAGCTCATAAATAACTTATGCATTTTATAAAGCTGAGAATAAGGCAGTCTGTTGAGCCCCAGATTTCTGCGGCTGCTGCTGACAGCACCTGTCCTCAGGAGAGGTGACAAGTACAGCTCCAGCAGCACCGAGGCTGCTTCCCTCGTGCTCCAATACCAAGCTGGCAGAATTGCCAAGTATAGAACATAAATATGTATTTGAATCAGAAAAGTATTTTCTGATGTTAGATCAGGAGAACATTTTTTATTGTTTTTTAGAAACCATTTCCTCAGTATACTAAACCAGCCCAGAAGATGGGACTAGAAGCAGAGGTGTAGAAACAACCTTTCCAGGCTAGTGGCCGAGCTACAAACCAGTTGGGACTGACGCTAAGGTCCCAAGTACTCTGGTGCAAAGTGTTGTTACATGCAGCAGAAAAAATATTTTCAAAATATCATTTAGAGTAAAAGTTTAAAATATTGTCCAATCTCTTCATATATTTTTATGCAGATGAATTTCAAAACAAAAGCATAGTTTTTAGATTATTTGGGAGAGTGTCAAAAGAGTGTTTTCCAGTGTTTTCAAAGTTATTTCTCCTATGAAATACAAACATTTTTGAAGTGCAGCAGCTCCTGCTTGCCCTTCTGGAATCATTTATAGCTCCAATCTCCGTAACCCATTTTCAAGCAGAGCAGCCAGCTGTGACAGGCAACCAGGAGGTGTGAAATAGGTAAAATGCCGCGACAAGGCGCGCGCTGCCGGAGCCGCTCTGCGCCGCAGCTCCGGCCCGTCCTACACCCAGCTCAGTCATCGCAGCCAGCACGACCAGCGCGGGCATCGCGCTCAGACATCCAACCTCAGCAGAACTAAGGCAGTAACTGTCCCAGAAGGAGCTCCAAAGACACAACCGCGCTCAGGAACAGGGAGGGGGGACAAGATTGGACACCAGTGGAGCAAAGGGCGCAAGGGAGACTGGGCTGCAGGGATCAATGGGGCCAAGTGCCCCTGGCTGTGCCCCTCACGCACGGGGACGGCTCTCCCAAGGCACGAGCTGCAGCCCAGCTCAACCCCGCTTGCCTGTCTCTGATCTCCAGCCCAAACCTGCTGCGGCAGCACTGAAAGCCAAGGCACAAAACACTTGCTAGAGCAAGCACAAGAAGCTCTGCTGCACTCTATATATACAGAAAGATAAGTATGTGCCAGTGTTGAGAGTCACTTGCGGATCTTGAGAGATTGTAGTAGTTTTGTTTTGTTTCCTTCCTCTCCTTCACTCCTCCCCCGCCCTCCCCCCCCCTTTTTTTTTTTTTTTTTTTGAATAAGGGGAACGGATGTCATAGCCCTTTCAGCATTTAGGCTGCACTGGCATTGCTGTTTGTAGGCTTTGTCAACACAGAAACTTGCCAAGAGCCTCCTGAAGGCATTGCAAATGCTCCTTCTGCCTACCTTAACACCACACAACTTTTCCTTTGCGTTGCCCTCATCTAAAGTGGGAACGTTAATATTTATTTACCTTCCAACTCACAGACATGTTGTGAGGATTCACTAGTTAGCAACTTTTAAGCACGTAGAAGATACAAGGGACTGCACAAAACATTAACAATTAAGGGGAGACCAACGATACAGATCCACGTGTCCCTTTCCCTGGGCTCTATCCCAGCAGTCTGGTGCTCAGAGCAGAGGTGCACACTGGCTAGTGAGAAATTAAAACTTTCAAGACTAAATTTTCACTGGCACCTTAGCACCCAAGAACAAACCAAGCGCTGCTGCATTCCTGGCCCTGCAAAACCACAGCACTATTAATAGCTTGGGACCTCGCTCTGTGCAGCCGCTCTGCACCTTGGTGAGCCATTCCCACCAGCACTCAAAGCACCTGCAAGTCAGTGGTGACTTCCAGGCCTGCCGCTCGCTCCACATCCATGAGAACCTCCCCACACAACTGGGACAGGCACCAAGCGCAGTCCAGCCCACTGCCACTCCGCAAAGCCCTGCTGCTCCTCGCTGCCCTGGACCCCTGGGAGGAACCAGCCCCTGCCAGCAGCCTCACAAGAAGCCCAGGAGAGACCTGACATTTGGACACCAGGGAGATGAGACACAGAGGGGCAATCTGAGGCTGGGGTGCAAGGCCACCGCGCAGCTCTGCCTCGCGGCACCGGCACCAAGGGCTGCAGGAGACAGCCCAGAAAGATGAGACAGCAACTGAAATAACTTCCCAAGGCACTTCCCTTCCCTTCCTTTTCCCCCAAGCAGCTGTCCACACAGCACTGCCAAGAGGCCAGGTGCAGCCTGAGCAGCACCTGTGTGCCTAAACCACTTGTGCTTGTAAGAAAAGACTGGGAATGCCCTGAACTTAAGTGCAATTAAGTCTCTTGTTGATACTTGCAAATATTTTGCAATTCTTATGTATATCAGCATGTATTTCTATTTTGATATGATTCCTGGTGCTTGGCATCACAGATGCATCATGCAACATTTTCCGACATCTTTTTCTCACTTCCCTGCCTATGTGGCAAGCTTAGCTTGGTTCTTCCTTTTCTAATCACTGTAGTGTACCAGGTGGTGGTAAATGTACAGTGGTTTTAGGAGAAAAAGAATAATAGTCAATAGTCCTCGAGAGGCCGAGTATAGCAGAAAGTGCCACGACACCTCAGTCAGGAGGGAAGAGCCATGGGGGCTAAAATAGGTTGGGAAAAGAATTGCTGCTGAGCCCAGGCTGATTTTTACTTACAAGACCTTTTACAGTCTTTGGAAAATGTAGCAAAATGTACCTAACACCAAATACGGTACATTATTCTTGTAAAATTTATATACAGTAAATACCTCCTACCACTAAACAGGAAACATGAAAGGTCAAATTTCACACTTAGGTGGAAGGCTCATAGCAGTGGCTAGTGCTAAGGATGCTTGACATTTAAACAGTGCTATTAGCAAGCCTGGCTTTCACATACTTACACACCACCAGACAAGAAGCATTTGAACATAAATTTTATATTTTATGTGCTGGACTGGCATATTTTTCTAGAAACAACATTTATTTTCCCTTCTAAAAACACCATGAGGACAAAACACTTTTTGTGTTAAAATAATATACCCACCATGGTATCTTTCTTCTTGCATTACACTTAGTGAGCTCTAGCGTGAGTTCAAGGTTTCTGCCTGACTGCCAACAACAGTGCAAGTTAACGTTAAGTGCAGTCTGCTTATAACACTGGACAGGATCAAACCCCTTCAGCTTCAGATAAAGCCCAAGCATTTACTGCCAAGGGTACAAGTGGACGCATGGTGTTGATGTAAAATACGACAAATCTGAAGTGCTAGTGTACGAGTCCTACCAATGAAATGCATCATCCTTGAGGTCCTTTTATCTCAAGCCAAAACTAGCAAGGGCAAAACAGAGTCTTTTATTGACTTTAGAGCTCAGTCCATTAGATTTCCTGCCTTTTCAGCATCCAAGGCAGTGTCGGGCTATTGGCCCCCTCCCGGGCTTGAGATTATGAGCAAGGAGCACAGCAGGGGCTGCAAACCCTCTCCGAGGCGGAGATACACATTACTCACCAGCTGCCTGGCAGCAGGGGAAATTGCTTTTTATTTTTTAAACATATGGTGAAGGGCAGGCACAGCTGGTGC